GATGATGATAAATTTAAAGATAAACAATTAACACAATCATCAGAATATGCAGTAAATTTAAATAATATTGATTTTAAAACAAAAGAACGTGATAATAATAGCAGTAATAACGATGATAATAATGATTCAATAAAAGAAAATTCAAAAATAAAAATAGATAACAAATCACAGGATGGTAATTCGTCTCTAATTACGAATTTGGGAGTCTGTGTAGTAGACAATTCGAACAGTAACAAAATAGAATTGAACAATAAAAATAAAAATAAAAATAATAATAATCTTAATCTTAATCTTAATCTTAATCTTAATGATAAAGAGCGTCGTATTCGTATACATAGTATAATTAATCAACTTTTATCACTTGCTAGATGGGGAGAAGAAAATAATAATAACAACAATAATAACAATAATTTCTTTTCTGCCTCCCCTTCTTCTATACCTACAACACCAAAGACACCGGAACCAAAAGGTCTTGGTTTATTACTTTCTGATCCTACACCACATATTCCACATATTCCAAATTTTACATATACCAGTAGTAATGGTAATAACAATAACAATAATGATATACCATCTTCATATACAACAATATTTTTATTACATGAATTGCAAGAACTTTTGGGATTCAATGATAATATTAATATCAACAACAACAACAACAACAACAACAACAACAACAACAACAAAAAATCTTCTCATCATCCTCCAAATTATACACATATTTATCGTAAGAGTATGCCTATAATTACAACTAATAATAATAATATTATTAATATTCTCTTGGAATCAACACATAATAATGATAAAGACGATGCAAAAATATCACGTCGCAGATCATCACCTAATTTCAGATCATCTTCGTCATCATCATTTATTATTTCTGATAGAATGTTGAATGCCACTAACCCTTCAATATCTACTATTACTACAACTTCTGATGTTTTGAAGCCTCCCTCAATATGGTCTTCATCATTGGGATTCTTAGCACCTTGGAAACATGATTAAATTTTTGGGAGATAAATAATTACTTATTTTATAAAAAAGAACAATAGTTGAATAAATTAAATTGCTTATCTTTTTTTTTTGTGATTGAATTTAAATTCTTTAAAGCTTTATTATTTTTTGATTTTAATTTATTTTATAATTATTTAAAATGTTTTTGCCAATTAAAAGAAATTAATATAGAAATTGTAAATAATTCATATATTTATATAATAAAATGATAATAGATTGTTTTTTCATTGGTCAAATAATAGTACTTGTTGAACCACCATCAATTCATTGCCCTAAGTTGAACCATCAAAAATATGTCTGGTTCTGATATAAAGAGAGCTTGAAAGGCTTCCCATAATTATGCAAATCCTTCTTTGAGAATTCTTGAAGGACAACCACAGTCACAACCTTTTTCTAAAAAATTAATTGCCTTTCATATTCATTAGGACCATTATAATAAATATTATTATCCATATACCTATAATCTTAAATTATAAATTTATGTTCATTTTGTAGGTTTTTTCAATTATTTTAAAATTGAAGAGGATTTCAAGATTGGTCCTGTAGTGACAATTAAATTTGGGCAAATCTGTAAATAAATATCAAGAATACATTCAATAATTGATCAAAATATGATCATTGAGTAACTTATAAAAAAAAACCTCCCAAGAGATTTGGACAACTGGCTCCATGAAAAATAACAATAACTATGAGTCTAGATTTAAATTGACCCACCATCAATCATCAAAATAAGAAAAACATACTATTAACTCTATTTCATTAAATCATAACAATCAAAAAATAAGTAAATAAAGTATTTAAAAAAGCAAACAAACAATAAATTTTTGCAATAATTTGAAAAAGACTTGATCTTTTCATTCAGTAAAAATGTAATCGAATTATTTGAAGAAGCAGACAGAATTTCAGCCTTCACCTCTATCAACATTCATGCTGCTTTTTTGTTTAATATTACACTTAATGTTAATAATGGTTACAAAAAGCAAATACATCAATTGTTCATTATAAAAGGCATCCACGGACAAAGATACAATAGTATCAGAGCATTCACCATCAAATGGTAAGTTGCTGCAGATGAGAGAATTGATATCATCAGCTGTTCATCAAAGCCCAAAAACATGTGTTGTACTTAAAATGGCATTTATATTTGGGAATTGGAAATGTTTTCATTTATCATCAACTTTGATTTCTCACTAAGGATTCCAAATCTTAACTCTTCTAACAAATTGTAGAAACTCAAGTCATCTTTCTGTCATTTTGGTTGATGCAGGAAAACAGGGAAGAATGAATTCCAAGCTGGTGAGAAAAAAACTTGCTGAGCATTGACTGGAGGAAGCTGGGTGAGATCACCAACCACCAGGACTGGGACACCTCCAAATACCTTGTGGTTCTTGTGCAAAGAACCAAACATGTTGCTCAAGGATGTGAAAAGTGTACCTGACACCACAGAGATTTCCTCAACTATGATGGCTTTAATTTCTAAAAGTTCCTCACTCTCTAATGACAATGTTTGGTGATGTCCATCAAATTGTCTCAATTTTAGGGCTGAATGGATTGTCCTACCTCCTATATTCTGAGCTGCAACACCAGTAGGAGCTACTAACAAATATTTGATTCTTTTCAACTGAAGCATATTTACAACATGGTGTGTCATAAAGAAGTAGGGATGCTTGTTATCATGTTCAGGAACCCATGAATTACATAAGATGTCATAGACTCTGTATTGTTCATTGTCAAACATTAAGATTGATGTCAACTTTGATGATGATGGCTTCTCCAATGTCATGAACTGCTGGTAAATAATATCCCAAAGATCATTTTTATCTAAATCTGCTAAAACTGAAATGATTGCCCTTCCAAATGCTTCAGAAAATTGATTCTTACTTATCAGTGAACTGTGAGCCAGTCTGGTCAAAACTTGCTGGTATCTCATTGGATACATGTTCTGGAACCTCTCCCTGAAACTTGAAAACTCCCCAAGTAGCTAGCTCACTTTGAGAATGTGCTGGAATTTTCATTATGAGGTATTGGAAAAAAAAAGGTTCACCATCATCGATTTTGTAACTTGTGAACCTGAGCAGCATAGGCTTTGTTCACTTGACAACAAACCTGCCTTTAAGGTCTCTTGTTGAGTATAACTTTGATCTTGGGCCTGGGGGTTTGTTTTTAATGTTATAATCTCTAAAATAATCTGGGTAGGTCATGCTTTCAAAAATGTGATTTTTTGGCCTGCAAAAATACTTATCAATCACATCATCAAAGTAAGGACTATCTCCATCATTCTCATTATCCTCATCCTCATTCTCAACATTATCTTGTTCAATTTGCACATATACAGGTTTAACTGATCAAATCCTCAACTCAGAAGGTGCAGATGGAAGTATTGAACCACCAATGAACACCTTGTTATTGAATACTGCAACAGCAATATCATCAGTTCCATTGATCCCAATCTCCTAGCTTGTACATGTTTTATGTACAAATCTTGCTTTCTGATGTTGAAGTTCAGGTTTTGTGGCATACTTGGTCACATATTTCCCAAAGCCAAATGTTATTATGTATTGAAAGTTAATGTGTCCCTACCATATCAACAACGTTTCAGGGTGGTAAGGAACAACCCAATGATCTTCATCTTTGGTTCTTTGATAAATGTATCTTTTGGAATTTTGTTCAGAATATGTGAAATTGGAGAGGGGCCGAGGGAATCCTTTTTTGCATGGATTTGCATTTGTTCCTGGATCACCACACTTTTCTCCAACACACCTGTGTATCTGGTACATGGTCATCAGCTGGAAAAGCCCAGGCTCAAGGAAGGGATCAGTTATGTCTGCACATATAGTATTTTTTGCTATCAGGTCTGGTGTTTTTTTTTCTGTGTAAGCAAATCCATGAGTGTGAATGGATCCTCTATTTTGAAACTTGTCTCTCAAAAAGTACAACCACTCACCCCACTGTACAAGATTCAGATTTTCCAAAGCTTATTATGCACATTTGTCAACCTGTTGTGATAATGTAAGTATGCATGCAATGGCCTGTTGGATGGCAGCAGATCATGATTATCAGTGAGCAGCAATATTTCTTGAAGATGTTTCCACTTGCTTTCAGGCATTGTCATTGTGTAGAAAATCTGTGGCAGCCCATACCCTTGAACCATTGTGTTAACATGATGTTGATTTTTCCTGAAAAAGGCTTCAGAAGTTTGAATGGATGATGGCAAGGTTGTTGTCAAAGCCTCATTTATCATTGGTTGATTATCATATGTGCTTCTTTATATCAAGTCAGCTCTGGTTGGGTGTAACTCATGATTAACATTCTTCTGGTTCAGAATCCTATTCTTGTTACATTTTTTTTCAAGGTTGAGGTATGACCAGTGAGGCCAATACCAATGTAACCTAAACCTTGGATTAGAGCACAAGGTTCGTAGCTTAATGTACTTGCCATAGCTATCAGTGTTGTGCCTAAATTTCAATAACCTTTTTACATCTTCATAGTGACCACAACTACCAGGAAAAATGTCAGGAAACACCAATGCTTCAATGTCAGGATTGTTATACTGTATTGGAAGTGTAACATCATCATTCGAAGTCATGAACCACTAATACCTGTAGTCTTCTTCATGCACCTCAATGGGAAAGTCATTATTTGGGACAACTAAGGAAGGTGGTTGAGAGTTTGTCAAAATTGATGAGTGATGGTTCAATGATGAAGTATCACAAATAGACTGGGTGGGTAGCCTTGCCATTGGTAGAGGTTCTGGAAAAGGGCTAGAGGGTGAAAGATGTATTACAGCATGAGTTTGATTGTACTGTATGTATATTGGATTATTTTGCACCAGCCATTGACTTGCACCAATTAATGATTCATGAAACCAATTAGGTGGCTCATTTTGATTCAATATTGCACCAATCAAACCCGAATGTAGTTCCAAAGCATGTCTGTTTTTTGACAACCCAATGAAGCCTTGTAGGTGACGATAGTGTGTGTAAGCATTAGAACCTGAAGCACGACCTAATGAGCAGCTCATATGAATGGGTGACAAATGTTTCCTGAACAACATTGGTACTGAATTGATCTCATCAGGTACTGGTGTCAAAGCTGGTGGGAACCTACGATTCTTCACAGTTTTGCAAGATGAGCAGACAGCAACCTTGACTTCACCATTATTGTTTATTTTGAGTGATAATTTTTCATTGGGAAATGCCACTTTTAAAGTGTATTCTTCATCAGCATTATAGTTGATCCACTTGATTGATGTGCTCATCATCAGGATAGAACAATATGCACAAGGGGTTGAAGGATAATCATATAAAATCTTTTTATCAAACTCTTCCAGAAGCAAAATCAGATTTTTGGATGGACGCCATGGTTGGAATGTTGTTGAGTCATGAGAATAATAATGAGGTGAAGGAATGTTAGGCTGATTATTTGGTGGTGCATTTTGCAAATTTTGATTTATTTCATTGCGTTTCACATATGTTGAAAGGAAGGAAACATCAACAGCACCCCCGGTGTGAACTTCCGAGCCAGAAGAAGAGGAGATAAAGTCAGAGATTGTGTAATTTTTGATTCTATAATTCATGATTTAATTAATTCAAATTAGAGTCAAACGTATAATAATATTAATATGATAATTATTTTTATTTCAAATTTTATTTATCACAAGGTTTTAAGGTTATTCAGAAAAAATGTATTTGTTAGATCAATCCAAATTAGAGTCAAACGTATAATAATATTAATATGATAATTATTTTTATAAATTTTATTTATCACAAGGTTTTAAGGTTATTCAGAAAAAATGTATTTGTTAGATCAATCCAAAATACATTCATTTATATAACTTTTTTTTTTCTTTGAATAACCAACCAACCAACCAACCAACCAACCAATCAATCAATCAATCAATTCAAGTACTGTTTAATTTAAAAAAGGCAAGCATGGCAGTGTAAAATTTTTTTAAAATTATTAAAGCAAAGAAAATTGAAATCTTCTCGTGTAACGTCAATAGATTTACATGTAACGGGAAAATACTTTCGTTTCGCAAAACAATAGAGGTTTCATTTTATAATGTTTAAATATTTGCCAATTACAATATCTGCAAAAATTTATTATTACAACATGTACATAATAATAAAATCAAATAAATTAAGACTCCTCATAAATAAAACCCTCTTCACTTTCAACCCCTCCTTCCCCTTCATCCAAATTCGCGTCCACAATCAAATCAGCGCGTTCTTTCCCTTTACTGCTTGTGGCGACTGCATTCATTGCATTTTGAAACATTGTAGTTCTTCTTGTTGATGGGTCTGAAGGACTTTCTTCATTGAGATCGAGATCTGCTTGGCTTACAGGTCTTTTGTTGGGTGATTCTTGGTGGTGATTTGCAGATCTTTTTTTATTACTAAAATACTTTTCTTCAAAGTCCAGGTACTTTGACTTTTGTGCCTTCCAGGAAGAAGGCCCACTTTGGTTTCCTTTATTGTTAGTGTTTTCTGAAACGGGGAAAAGCCATTCAATCTCTTTGCCAACAATCTGCACCATTCTTTTACCAACAAAAAGTTCTCCTGCTACAGTGAAGATAGCTTTTCCATTAGTGGCAGTTGTGACAGAGCTGTGGCGTCCATTGTTTGGGTTATAAAAACATGGGACATCCATTGTAGTGTATGAGTTTGCAAATGGATTGTATATTTTTCGCGACAAAGTGAAAAAGCTTGCACCGTCTTGAACTCTAGATGGTGCTGTGCATTGAGCAGTGAAGGTGCCGAATAAAGGATTGATGGGTAAATCATAGATGCTTGGATCATCAGCAATCGTTTTCAGATCAAGAAGAACAGCTTGGATCAGGGTAACCTGAATCAAAAACAACACACATTATTATTCATTGCTGAATAAAACCAAATGAACAATTTATTGCATATTAATATAACAAAAACTCACATATAGCTGCGAATCATGAATCACATATTTTCCAACAAACATCATAAAAGAATTTTTCTGTATATCTTGGATCATGATGTCTTCGTTGGAATTAAAGGCCCTGAACGTAAAGTCCAAAAAATCATTATTGTCAAGTCTTGAAGTTGCCACACCATTCAAAACGTTAGATCCACTCACAGACTTTACAAATGTGATTGTAGATAAGATGGAAGACATAATTATTTTTTATTTTTTATTTTTTTATTTTTTTAGATGTGATTTAAATTGTTTTGTGAGTATTGAATATTTTCTTTGCATCCAGTAGCTCATTCACTTAACTTTTTTATACAAATTTTTTTCATCCAAGAATAAACATTGATTTTTCTTCACTAGCCAAATCGTAAAAATCAGCACAAGAAACATATGTTAATGTAGACATGATAATAAATGTGTCTGCATGTGAAAAAAAAAGAAAAACATAAGGTGTAAAAATAAACACGTAGTGCATAGGTACGTGTCCTTAACAATTTCGAACACATCAATTGACAGCAAACAACAATCAATGATGGGCGTAGGAACACATGTAGGAACACATGTTAACATTGCAGCATGGATGACATGACAATAAATGCGTCCACGTGTGAAAAAAAAAGGAAAGACATATGGTGCAAAAATAAACACGTACGTGTTCTTAACAATTTCGAACACGTTGATTGACAGCAACAACAATCAATGATAAGTGTAGGAACACATGTAGGAACACATGCTAACATTGCAGAATGGATGACATGACAATAAACATATCCACATAGCATAAAAAAAAGAAAGATGTATGGTGTAAAAATAAACACGTAGTTGCATACAATTTAGAACACATTGAATGTTCACCAATGATTTTGTAACAAACATGTTGGTTGATCGGATAATGGTTCACAGCCATGATCTCATGCGCCTGAATCAAGAATCAACAGATAAACATAGATCTCAAATTGAGGTGCATTTGTTGGTTTGAACTTAAAATTGTTGAACTTTTCATTAAAAAAACCAATGCAAAAACATGTTTTCTTGCCATAAAAAAAAAAAAAAAAAAACTCAGAAGGTCCAAAATCATGTTTTATTGTCAATTTTTACAACAATTAGTTTAAAAGTTAGTTGTTAAGTAATTTCCGGCCAATTAAATCATTAAAAAAATTTTGTAATTTTGGTTTTTCTTATCCGATGATTCTTGACGTTTTTGATGAGCGTACCAGTACACAAAAAAATAGATAATAATAATAATTAGATACATGTGAAATTTCTGACATTCCGATACGTGTTAATTATTTATTCAAATTTTAAAATTTAATTTGTGGCTATGGAAAAAAAGTAAACAGGTTTTCGCAGATCACAAATTTATAAAAAAATCACCTATATAAATGAACTACACTCCCTCCAGCATAGTGGAAGTTTGTTGCTATACGAAACTTTATACAGAACTCATTGCTTCTGAAACTTCGCCAGTATATAGTTGTTACCTCTCTAAATTGGAGATCAAGTTCAG